AGCCAGGGCTTGTGCTGGGCTCCAGGCTCATAAAGATGCATTGGCCCAGATCCTTTCTCCAACAGATTCTATCCAAAGATCTGGGCATGTAACTTGTTCAGTGCCTGTTGGGTGGAAAACACACAAATGTTTAAGTTACAAATATCTGAATTTTCAGGGTGAGCTGAAAAAATACTTGGCTTTACACACAAAGTGTTGATTTAATCCTTTTCTTGAATTTTCCTTTAGCACTGGGCATAGACAGTTCCCCACAGAGTAACCCTTGCGTGCACATTAGGGGACCTTGAGGCTCACATCATCTTTGCGTGAAGACAGTGCAAGGCCAGGTAGATGGGGAGAGGGGTTGGATGCAGAGTTCAGTTGTGGGGACACAATAGGAAGGCCAGGGCTTTGCATGTGAAACATTTGGGTGAGAGTTGAAATAAGAAATTCACTGTATATTTTGAAAATATATACTTGTCAATGCTGCTGATGTGAAGAAATTAAGTTACATAATTAATGTTGAATGAGATAGACATTTTATAGCAATTATTATGGCATTTGAAACTAATGTTTTTAACATTAGGTAGGGCCATGGAGGAGGTATTTTATCTTAACATAAAAGATTATCTTAGACACATTCTAAGTGAAGAAATCTAGATAAACAAATCTGAGTCATTTTAAGGAATAAAATAGAAGTATTGTATATCAAAGTAATTTTTTGCTTTTCATTAAACATTTTTATTTTGTCAGAGAGACATGATTTCATTATTTCATATTTTATAACATTATAGCTATCTACATATGTTCAAACATATACAATAAATGAAATATATATATTAATAGATATGTATATTAAGTTATAAAAAACTTGTTTGTTTTTAAAGCTACCATCTAATATCTGAAGCTTTGGGTTCTTATAAGGAATTTAACCTCTTTTTAGTTTATTATGATTTTTAGTAATAATTATGCTTATTTATAGCTGTTCAGTTGATATAGGAAGGGAAATTTATTAGTAGGTAAGGCACACAGAAGTGAACAAAACTAAATATGATGGAAGACAATTGCAATGTGTTTACTGAAAGAATCTTTGATTTTAGATAGAAGATGTTGGACAAATTCATAGGCATATGCATGGAATTTGATTTGTGAGACTATTTTCTTGATTGGACAAATCATATTTTAAGTTGTTTTGACCACTGATTTCCAATGTATTCGAATTCTGGGGTGGGGTG